AACTTGCATGCTGCGCTAGACTTGTTAATTCAGAGTTTTCTTTATGAATGTTATTAGAATCAAGCGATTAGAAGACAAAGTGCACACTCCTTTCCTTAGTGGACATCCACTTAAAACCATGGTTTGGGAATGAATCATACTTTCTTCACCGAAGTTTGATGTTCGAGCTGCGAACTAAAACGATGGTTGACTACTTTTCTGAGAAATGTTTCTCGCATTTCTGTTTTCAGGTATGGTAATTGTTTTGTAATGGCTTTTGCAATGTGTTTTGGTAAGGGTTTGCTCTTTGTGCCTGTTCCCAAGCCTAGATATCTGTTCTCCAAGTTGCGAGGAAGAGAACATTGTGTATATTGTCGGGCTTTCTGATGAAATCTTGTTGTTGTCAGATTTTGTAATTAAAACCGTAGTCGCGCATGGGTTGTTTTGATTAAAGAACCCCGTCCAACAGTTGTGTTCTTTTTTACAATTGTCTCTTTCCCATTCAGGAAGCACTCTGAATGCCCCTCTGACCCGGCTCTCTAACTGCATCTATCATTCTGCTAATCCGCTTAACGAGCTGGTCGGAAAACCGCGCGCGGTCTTCGGAACCGGTCTTGTGATCCGCTTTGCTGGAATTTTACGAATCGAGCTGAACTATTGCGTGCCTATCCACAGTCAGCCTGAAGATGCATTGAAGTCCGGGTTCTCATTGGGACTCGGGCTGAACTATTCTTGATTAGATGAGAAGAACGTGAACATCTTGTGATCCCGTACTCGCCTCCATTCACACTCGCCCCTCATGCGCGTACTCTCTCATAGTCTCTACCATATACCCTTCTGGGTGGATTAGTTAACCCCCACCACCCGTCGTAGATTCCGCACCTAGACTGATGACAGCCTACCCTGAATGTGGACGATTCGACATACTTGGTCCGTTATTGGAATCCACTATGTTTGATCGCATGGAGTGTTTCATTTGGTTCTGCGTTCCTCTGTTTCTGGAGCTATCAATAAACGACCATCTTAGTCTTGTTATCATCAAATTGTTCATCTTTTTTTGCGTCTTTCACCGCTTAGAAACCATCCCCTGACTTCACCTTCCTTGGAAGTCATCGGTTATTCAACTGTGAGTCCAACTCCGTTCACGGATGATAGTCAGTCGAGCATACAACCTACCTATTTTATTATAGTGTGGTCCATAGTAAAACCGGTAAACTCAATCTCGAGAATCCCTTATTCGGTGGTCATAGCCTAAGCTTTATGACTTGCACTGGCGAACTATAATTGAGGCCTTATCACGACAGGTGGATTACAACGAAGCTACCTACCACAAAAACTGAGTGATGGTTGCATGATCTGGAGCACGCCAGGGTCACCTCAATTCGTTTGACCAAATGGAGTTTATCTAAACTATTCTGAACATTGTGTTCAATTGATCAAGATTGATGCGAACGTCAGTTATCCACGAAGTCCAAAATGAGCATGGTGTCAACATTGTGATGAT